ACATTTGGGGCAATTTGTGCCCAGCTTAAAACACCATGATTTCCAGCCTCTTTTGTAGTCAGGGGTGGTCATGTGACTCCACATTGGCCATGGAGAAATCTTTTTTTTTAATTTTTTTTATTATTTATTTATGATAGTCACACACACACACACACACAGAGAAAGAGAGAGAAAGAGGCAGAGACATAGGCAGAGGGAGAAGCAGGCTCCATGCACCGGGAGCCCGACGTGGGATTCGATCCCGGGTCTCCAGGATCGCGCCCTGGGCCAAAGGCAGGCGCCAAACCGCTGCGCCACCCAGGGATCCCCGCCATGGAGAAATCTGAGTGAGATTTCTGGGAATGGCTCTTTGAAGGGAGCCACATTAAGTGTCATGTACCCATTTTGCTTCTCCCCTTTCTCTTTCTTTCCTTCCTGGAATATGGCTTTGGTGGCTGGAGCTGCAGGAGCTATCTTGTAACCATGAAGTAACCTTGAGGATGAAAGTCATGCTAAGAATGGCAGAACGGAAAGAGAGAAAGAGGTCAGGGCACTGATGACATTATGGAGTCACCACACTGACTCTCGATTGCCTACCACTGGACTTACTTTGCATGACAGGAAAGTGTCTAAGCCACTGTCAACTTGGGGATTTTGTGACTAGTAGGCAAACACAATTCTTACCCATCAAGGTTGAAGGCTGGTGTGTGTACGTGTGTTAGAAGGTGGAACACAGAGCTAGTGGATTAGGGGTTTTGAAGTTCTGCATCACTCTAAAGCCATGGAGAATTTTAAAAAGTTGAGAATCACAGCTGTAAGAAACCAATCCAGATATCTGTGACCAGAAAATCCATTACTCTTCGGATGTACATTGTGCAAACTCATTGAATGCAAATCGATCCGATTCTTTCCTACACCTTGTTGACCTTGATAATATCTATCTTATAAAGACTGAGGTTTACATTTGATGCCATTAGCAGTTTTTATTGAAGGAGGAAAATACTTTCTTAATTCATTTCAGGTTTAAGATATATTCTGCAAACATTGATTAAACATGAAAGGCACTTAAATAAGCATAATTATCTTGGAAAACATGCAATGTTATGCGTTATATTGTGTTCACCATTGTTCTGATTTAGGACTTTGAATCCACCAAGGGGTTAAAATGCTTCCCCACGACTCCCCTCCCCCCACAACCAAAATATTTGACTAGTGTGAAATACCAACACAGAATGCCCTGGGCAAATGCTAAGCAAGGCTTCAATCTTCCTTTTTTTTCTTTTCTTTCTTTCTTTCCTTTTTTTTTTTTTTGACTGCGGGCTAAAACCATCTCCATTCATGTAGAACCCAGAAAACATGTCTCTTTGGATATGCCATATGGCCTCTCGGTTTAACTATCCATCTTAAAATATCTAGGGCAAATAGAGAGTTATTCATTCATGTCTTCATCAGCAATACCAAGTATCTCTTAAAAAGTTAGCAACAGACAGAAGACAAGTCTTCATGCTGTGCAAGATGCCCATCTGCTTTCCAATTCATTCTGTATGTAATTCCTGGGGTTTATGAGATTTAAAAAATAATTCCAGTTAAGGCCATTTATCTAGTTTTGTGGCAGCTGCAAATTCAGTTGCTCCAGAAACAATCTAATCTTCAACCTCCCAATTATTTTCAATGGCTTGATTAATGTACTAACCGCTCATTTGAAAATCCATCTTGGCTGTACTGCGAGGACTGTACAATGGGCAACTAGACAGAGGATTTACCGAGTTACAAAAAACTATTAGCATCTTTGACATTTATTGGAAAGAAAACGACGCTTCAGCTTATTTAATATTTCAATAACTTATTCTTAGAAGACAGAGACGAGGGGAGTGCATTTCCAGGGAACCAATGGGAGGTGGTTTTGGACACGGTCACATGGAAAACAGCATACAATGCCATACACAGAGCTCCAGGGCAGGTGGAGGGGACCAGGGGGGAAGGATTCATTTGAAAGGCTCTCTCATTTGGACAAGAATATGCTAGATCCCACAACTCATAGGTACTTAATAAAAAAATGTAAACATCACTTTGATTGAGGCTCAGCTTCAAAACAGTTTAAGGCATTAATCAGAAAAGTATATTTGATATTTGTTCCCTTTATTTTTTTTTCTTGGATGATCAACTAAACGGGCGAGGCAGTATTCATGGGAATGAATGAAAGACAACTGACTTTAGAAACTTTCCTTGAACAATGAATGTGAATTCCTGATACCTTCTAGCAAACACAAAACCACAAGCCAAGGTGGAAAAGCACTGGATGATTGTGGGCAGAGCTCAGGAAGGGGGCATCCACGTTACAGCCCCCCTCCTTGGGGAGCAGGAGGCTCGACACCTGCAGAGAAGCCCATCAGGCTGTGACCTTCAGAAGCCTCTGTCCCCGCTGATGGAGGTCCCTGACTGGCTTGAATTCCAGCATTTCCCTGGAGATGCTATTACAGGCTCCGGTGCCAGGGACACTTACTGTCAATTGTGGCAAATTCATTTTCCTTGCTGTTGAATCAGATGAGAAGGCCGAGGCCCAGGGCCGTAAAAAGCTAGGGTGTTTTTGAAAACCCATTCAGGTCCAGTAGACGCATGGCTCATCAAATGGGGTTTGCTTTTCATCCTGAATTCCAGTTAATAATCCTAAACAATAGGGGAAGTCTATAGTGCACCTGGAGGAGGTGGTGCTGAGTGAAAGTCTCTTCCTTTGTGCTATTCTGGACCAGAAGAGGTATTTGGCATTTTGCTGGCACAGGGTGGGGTTATGGCATCATTCTTACAGGCTGAAATAATTACATGTGAAAGCTGGAATGGGAATTTTTTTCAAGCGGGCACAGTACAAATGCTGGGCCGATTTTCCCCAGGCACAGAATGACATGTCATCCTGCCCTTTCTGATGTAGGCTATCGGTCACCCTACTTGCTCCATCCAACATCCTTCTGAGGACCAGGACATTCAGGCTAAATTCAGCCTCTGAGTGCCTGCAGTCCCCAGAGCACTCCTGCGAGGATGAAAGCGGATGAATTTTTAAACAACAAAATGAGTGTGTATGTGTGTGCATATGTTTGATAATGGTCCAAACTTTAATAGCATGGTAAAATATTTATCCTATTTTTATAGCCAGCATGCAATCAATCCATAACACACTGACAGAATTTAGAAAGATCAAGGTCTACTCAGCCACAGCTTGATGGAACCACTCAACATTTTAAAATATATATATTTATCAGTGAATGGGAAATGCAGGCCTATTGCCAGAAGTCACTTTCCTGAGATCACGTGGACACCCCAGGGGCAGGAGGGAGTTCCTAGGATCATAGTCCTTCACTGCACAGACTTTCCCTTCTTTTCTAAGCCACAGAGTAAAGGGCTGTATCTCTCTGGTTTGGGGTTTTAAGAAGTTAATTGTTTTAGCAAATTGGCTCATTCAAGTTAATCTCCCTCTTAAACCCTGAATAGCCTTGACTTGTTTCACCGAAATTCCCAATCCCCTTTTTGGTAAATGATGTTAATTAAGCTGGTACAGGAGACAGAGTTGAGGGCGGGGTGGAGGATTGGTAATAAATATTATGTAAATTTTGATTATTAGATAAAAATGAAAGATCCCTTGGATTTTTTTCATAAGGAGGTAGGAAAAAAGGACCAGATGTGGGAAATGAACAACTACTGAATTAGATGATGTTAGACACAAAAAGACTCAAAAGCCCATCGCTTTCAACTTCCAGATGAAGAAGCTGGGAATGGATGTAGTCACATAGATATAGGAGTGAGAACTGACCCATCCTTCTCTCTCCTCACGGCCAGGGCTCCCCCAAGTCTCTAGGCAGTAGATGGAAGGAGGCAGAAAGCAGAGGGTTAGGGAAGTTATGGAAGGCACGTCTCAGGGCTGTTGCTTTTTGTTCACAGGCAGTGCGTGCAGGGAAAATCCCTGTGCATTGATGACCATGAGCCTGAGTGTGTGTGGCTGTGTAAGGAAGAGCTCTGTTCCCCTTACTAGAAATTCCAAGTGAGTTCAAGGCATTAGGATGTCCAGGAGACCAACAATGGCTACATATAATTTACTTTGCCTGTTTTCTATTTGTATATACAATATTAAAGGTATAGATGGTTCAAAGATACCACTGTGCAAGAATTCTGTGGTTATTTTCAGCACAAAAGATTTCTCCACCAACAAAGAACTGGCTTTCTTCCAAATAAGACTTTAAATTGTGCTTTTCTTTTTTTCTTTTCGCCTTTCCTTTTCTTTTCTATAAAATGGCAACTCTTTCTCAGGAGAAACAGCCTTTTTCCATGAATGCAAAGCGTTCGGGCGTCTTGTGTTTCTCAACGGTTGTGAGAAGCCCCAGCTTGATTTTGAACTTGAGTCGATTTGGTTGTTGAATTTATCATCTGGAAAGAAGCAAGGACAGAGCCTGCTGAGTCCCTGCAGCTGCCTCTGAAGTGACTTATTCCCTAAATACAGAGCCAGCTCCCTTCTAGATGATAAATGAACTGAACGGAGTGGTAATTTTCTTAATTCCATTCTGTTTCGTGCCTGGGTAAGAATGATGATGAACGGGGCCCAAACTTTAAGCTGATTTCTCCTCCTCATTTTCTGATATCTGAGGAGGACCTCACACTGCCCTTCCTGAGCCCTGGCGACACAAGAACATGACACAGAAGATGGCCCCACCATGGCCCCTTATCCTGCGTGCCCTCTCCTCTCTCCTGTAGATGAACTGCTGGCTGCCAATCTGTTCACGTGGAGCAAATTCTGCTAAGACTGTGTCAGAAAGAGATGATCAGAGAAAAAGAGAGAAAACCCCACTGTCAGAAAGCTACCCTCTTGCCTGAGAAATCGCCCCGAAAACACCTGCTCCCCCATTCAAAGATTTTACTTTTGGCTGCTTGGGGACCATTCCTCCCTAGGGATACTTTAATAAAACCCAACTCTCCAACAGGCCATCCAGATGACTGTGTTGTCGAGCTGTTAAGGATAACCGTACGCAGATCCAAAATAACAGAGGACGTCATTTTATTGGCTGTCCACAGGAAGTTTGGTCACACAAGGAGGTGGAGACTGTGGCAGGCGTGGTACAACACAATAGCTCGTCTAACTACTAAACAGAAGGTGAACTGATAGGCTACAACCCCAGCAGCCCTCTGTAGCCCGGGCGCCACCTACGCCTGTCTAAGTTAAGCTGGATAAGCTGGCGAGTGATGGCATTGTCCATTAGCCTTGGCGTGTTGCATGGTCGTCCCATAAAACAGCACTTGAAAATTCACCAAATTAGAAGAAAGAAAGAAAGCAAGCAAGCAGCACTTCCTTTTGAATACCAACACCACTGTAAACAGACGTAGCGTGGCATGCAAATCCAGATCTGGTCATTTTTTTTTCCCTTGAGGTTTTTGTTTTTTAAATTAACAAATGGAATGGCATGTCTATCTCAAATAGTAGTAGCAGAACATGTAAGTGCAATTTCGGTCTGGCCACAGCTGTCCTCATCCTTCCCGCGTGTCTGTCCCGAGAGCAGTGAGCGGACCAAGGAACCTCCAGCAGGAAACTGTCCTTTCCTCCCCGACTGGCTGCAGCCCGCAGGCTCCTCTCTCCCTGGGTCTGCCCCTCGGATGCCAGGGGCCTGGGAACAGCCACTTCTCTGTTTCCCCCGTGCTCGCAGCCGTCGGGGTGGGGAAGGAAGATGCACCTGCCTGCAAGTTGCAGGCATGTGGGCCTCGCCCTCCTCTGCCATCCCAGGAGCAGCCTCCACTCTCCAAGCGGTTTTCACGCCCCAGGACCAGGAGTTCGTCCTCGCCACCATGGAGCTGGGTCATGGGAAGGCTCCCGCTGTCTGCACCCCCCACCCCCCGGGCGCCGCGGTCACACGGAGCTGAGCTTCACCAGGCCGCGCACCGAGTCCTCGTGCAGAGAGTCCTGGCTGGCCAGCCCCAGCACGTGCATGGTGCGGCTGTGGGCCAGAGGGCTGCCCGCCAGCAGCCTGGGTGGCGAGGGCGCTTCCTCGGGGGTCAGGAACTGGTGGCCCACGTGCTCCTCTTTCAGAGGCAGTATGTCTGTGAGCGCGGCCTCGGCGGTGAGGTTGGGCATGGAGGAGGGTGGCGTGGGCTGCCCGAGCGTCAGGCTGGCACAGGGCGTGCCCAGGCCCGGCTTCCCGGGCAGGTGCAGCTCGTCGCTGGTGAGGCTGGGCTCGCTCTGCAGCAGGGGCGTGGCCGCGGCCTGCAAAACGAATTTGGTGCTCTGAATGCACTGGTCTTGGTCGCACTGGAGAGCAGAGGGGGCCGCAAAGAGAAGGCCGAGATGAGATGGGCACGGAGCGGGGAGGGCGGGGAAGGGGGTACGGGGAGGGGCAGGATGCGAGAGAGAGAGAGAGAGAGAGAGAGAGAGAGAAACGAGTTAGTGACACCGCAGTCAGACAAGTCAGAGAGCATGCACAGTAGCCCCATGTCACCAGGAGACACCCAGCACCAATGCCTGGCACCTAAGTGAGCCGCCGGAAGTCCAAATCACCCACAGGTGCCCCAGGAGTTACATGCAGCCAGAGGCGACCATGCTCCTGGCCCTTGATCACAGACACGACCTAAATAAGAAACAATCCCATGGATAGAGTCACAAGCTTTACCACCTATCGCTGTCTCAGGTGGCTGTTTCTCGGATGCTGAAAACCACTTTTGCTCTATTGTTTTACAGATATGAGGCCCTCTACACCCATGCTCATAGCAGCATTATTCACAATTATTCACAATGGTCAAAAGATGGAAGCAGGGGTCTGTGCACCGATGAACAGATACACAAAATGCGGTGTAGACAGATGATGGACCATTGCTGAGTGGTAGAAGGGAAGGAGGTCTTGGCACACACCACAACACGGATGAACCCTGAGGATATCATGCGAAGAGACGTACGCCAGTCACAAATGGGCCGATATTCTATGATTGCACTTATATGTGGTCCCCAGGATCGTTAACTTCCTGAAGACGGAAAGTAGAAAGAAGGGTGGGTGCCTGGGCCCCGGGGGAAGGAGCAAGGGAGCGAGTGTGCATGGGGACAGGGTCTCAGCTTTGAGAGATGAAGAGTCCTGGAGGTGGATGGTAGCGATCTTTGCACAACCACGAGGACGTACCACCAGAGTGTACACTGAAAAATGGCTAACGTGGTAATTTTATGTTATGTATGTTTTACCGGGAAAAGAAAGAAAGAAAAAGAAGCCCCTCAGGGTCTGATGAGACTCTTTGACAAAGCCCTAGACCTCCCCACTGCTAAATTTCCATCAGCTTCAAGAGCGGTGGTTTTTGAATCTGTGAAAGAGAATGGCAACATTTAACGAGATGCTTCCTTTTCTCCTAAGTGTTTTTACGTCACGTTACCCCTCATGTCCTTTCCTTCACTCACTGGGCAAAAGGAACGGTGTAAGCATATTCTCAGCTGATCGAATGTGGAATGGGGGATGGGTAACCCTCCCTTGAACCATGGGCCCGGTTCAGCCAGAAGGAGCGTGGGCGGCACTCGGAGATTTTGAACTTGAGTGTGCGGTTAACTCCTCTGAGAGTTTCAGGAACTGCTCTTGTACAGGGAGGAGGACTGGGTGTGACTGTGGGTTCAAGCAGGAGCTAGGCACTGAGCTGAGTTTCTTTAGAATTCTTAGAACAAATACATTTCCCCTCTTTGCAAAGGAAGACCTTGAGGCTTAATGAACAATTGGCCTCCTTGAGACCTTAACAGATAAAACTAGGCATGGGTTGGGGATTTGGGCCTGGCTTTGCTTGACTGCCCACCTCTTTCTGCTACTGCATGTGACACATAGTAGGTGCTTAAAAAACGTGCCTTGTCTTATTATCCCCGCCCCTCTTTTTCAGAACTCCTGAGTTTCCATAGAACCTGTGCTAACGGGTTTGCAATGGAGGTGCCTCACTGGCCCCCCTGCCCAGGGAACTCCTAGAACCACCACCAGTCACCCACCTCCACCCGGGGAGCAGCCCGAACGACCCACTGTGCAGCCTTCAGAGAGGACAGAGAGTCCGTGGAAGTTCTGACGGAACAGAGGGTTGTCAGCCCGACGTGGGACTCGATCCCAGGACTCCAGGATCACACCCTGGGCTGAAGGCGGCGCTAAACCGCTGAGCCACCCGGGCTGCCCAAGAGCGGCCTTCCTGATTAAACGTTCATCTTCTGGAAACTGTCCTAGGGCTTTGGATATATTGTGCTTTGCAAAGAACCTTTTGTGAAAATCACCATTTGGTCTCCGCACACTGCCTCCCCTTGCCGAGGCTCGGTGCAGCAGGCCGGCTGGCGAGCCACAGCCCTTCCTGGATGCCCGAATCCTGTTCTGTCTTCCCTCCTGGGGCCCTCCCTCTGCCTCATCCCTTCTGTCTATGCAACACCCTTGGCTTAAGGAAAGATAAAATTGCAAATCAGATTTGCTTGTCTCTGTTGGCCTGCAGAAAGCCTTTCTGTTATTGAAAATAATGGGCAAATTCAGTTTTAGGGATCGGTGCAAGACCGACTGTTACAGAGTTCTGTGAGAGGGCAGAGCTGGAGATTTCCAAGGTCAGCGGCACCAGCATGAGGACAGAGGTGCCCCTCCATCTCCAGGTCACTGCCCAGTTCCTTTTCCCTGACCACTCCCCTGCAGGCATGCCCGCAGTGGAGACCACGGGTGGGCACCCACCAGAACCTCCCGGGATGAAGTGGTCCATTAGTTCCTGAGAGTTCATGTTCATGGGGAGGCCGAGGTGGAATTGGACGGATGTGCCTTCCAAGGCCTTACATACAAACATCACTGCTGACGCCAACAAGACCACACGTACTGGAGATGGGTCTACTCTGAAGCCATGAGGCTTCCGATCAGGACCCCTCCGTGTCCTGGTTCCTGGCATATTATTTTCTTTCTTTTAAAGAGAAAGCCCCCCTCCAAACCTAAGTCCACTCCTGTGGACAGAGTTTTCCTGTGGCCAAACTGACAACTCATTGAAACAGTGACAAATCTCCGTTCAGCCTCCCCGCCAGGACTATCAAAAATGATGTCCAGTATAGCAGGGGTAAAGCCCAAGGGCTTCAATACATGAAAAACAATGGACCCTGAACCATTTCACTAAAACAAAAACAAAAACCCCTAAATATAAGTCGCTCAGAAATATGTTCAAAATGACTATTTTGAATCCTGACTTTTGTTAACTGACTTCAAGCACCTCTCCTACACTTCTATTTAAAAGATAACTGTCTTTCTGAGGATCGTTATGGATATTTCCTTCATTATAGGGACTGCTTTCATGTTAATAATTAACCTACTCTCTGCCTTGCATCCCTTCCCACCAGTTTAACTTGCAGCAGTGATGTCAGCGAGTACGATTACTGGGGCCATGAACCTAAGTGTCAAAATCCTGCTGCACTCATAGCTTTGAAGAAAACTTGCCACATTCAAACTGGTTTTCCTCCAGATGACCAAGTCTGTTTGGGGGTTCCCCGGGACCAGGCTTTGTTCTACTAGTTTGCCCATATAAATCTCCTATTGGCTCCATAGGATGATGGACTTTATTGGGTTCCAACCAGGGAGACAGCAAGGACTAGAATTCTCATACTATTAACTTCACATGTTTTGAACATCTCCTTCTTAGAAAAGACTCAATGATTGGGAGACACCTAATTTTTTTTTTTAAAGGTCAGAGTGTTCCCTCATTTTGCACACTGCCACAATTCCCAGGAGGATGGGCTAATAACCTTCATAGTTGCAATCCCAGTTGGGAGCTTGGCCGGTATTTTCAAGGTCAATGTGGAGGTGACCCATGAAACAATGTTCTTACGCTGCTTCCTTTTTGCCACTGCTTCTGATTCTTATTTGCCCATTTCTTGTTGATGTTTTCTACTTCATTTTCCTTCTGGCCTCACCAACCCTCTCCTCTGCTTTCCCCTCCATTTTTTCCTTTCATCAGTGTTTTGGCCACGTCTCTTTTTCTCCTCTCTTCTTTTTTCTTCCTCTTCTCCCCTCCTTGTCTTCCTTCTCACTTCTCTCTTCTCTTAGCTCAGCCTTTCTCAAGCCACCGCCCGCTTTCTTGGCATTTCATGTGCAGACTCCTCTCTTCAACCAGTAGGGGGCGACATCACTGCTTACTTTCTTCTCTGACAATTTGGTAGCAGGGATTATGTTCCAGCACTAACACCCAGCCGCCCTTAGGTATATTTTATTGATCTAACCAGTTATATAATCTTAAGAAACACCAACCGAGTGCCTGGATATCGGGCAGTGACCATCCCTCCACTACAAACAGGATATTGAGAAACTCATGCTGTCATTCCAAAACAACCCTTTAAAGGTCCATAGTTATCAAATATTAGGTTGAATCCTCTGAAGTTGCCATTTAAAAAGTCAAAATCATCCAAGTGCTGAATACCAATGGAATAGAAACCTGATTTCTTGTAAGAGCGTCTATGAAAAGACCCTTCTGTTGGCAGCATAAAATGAATACTGGCAGTGGTGCTGGAGCATTTGCTGTGGTTGCAATAAGTCACTGTGACGGCTGGCTGATTTACTGCCCAAATGAAGTACTGGCATTTAACTTGCAAAGAAGTTTATGGTTTCAGATGTTTGGATGTCACACACATTATCACTTAATGTTACAATTTAAAAACACCATACATAGAGCTAATTTACTTTTTGTTTCTGCAGATTTTCAAATAAAATTGCTCATGTTGGGATATATTTTATTTTACTCTAGCTGACTTCTTGTTTGAAATAAACCTTAGCACACAGATTAAGTGATGTTAACAGCAAAGCTGGGAGTTTTTTTTAGATGGTCTTGTATACAGATGAAGAGTGAGTGAAATTATTTATTCCTTCTGCTCCAATTCTGTCAAAAGTATTAGCGTTGGGCATCATTTATTATTGCTTGGCAGTGAAGCCGTGTTCTGGGGTCTTATGAGTGCTCATTTACAGTACAGAAACACTATAAACTCCTAAAATCCACCTAAAATGTCAGTTAGGAGGAGAGCTTCCTTTTACTTCTGTTATTTAACATTATCATTTAAGTGTGCATAATTTCTTTTTCCTATTATTTTAGATTTTTCAGATGATGCATGGAGAGCTCTACAATATTAGTTTAACAAATCACATAACTGCTAGGTTTAGTCTTTTTTGATACTGGATTAAGGGGGGTTTAAAAATTAAGCTAAGTAAATATAACAGAGGATTTTCTTAAAAACCCAAAATTTCAACAACCATGTACCACGTTATTATCTTGGTGTATAGCACATGGTCCCAAAGGATCTTT